CAGAAAATAAAACATTACATCTCATACACAACTCACAACTAGTATCCGTATAACTAGTATCCTTAACACTACGTCTTAAACTCTATCCTAAACCAAGAAAAAGTACCCTAAGGGCCTTACAAACTTGGGCCTTACAATCTTGGGTGCGTAGGGGAGAGGGGCTTCCGTTTCCGCTACCCCGGGTTACTCTAAATCACAAAAAAACTTTTGTGAAAAAATTTTGCCAAGTTGACGTTTTATTGCCTGATCCTATTTTCCAAAAAAATATCCTCACTTTTATTCACAAAAAAATACTTGAAATAAAAAATACGCCGAGCACATCGTTCACAAATCATATTGAGATGAAGGAATGAAACCGTTGTCATTTATTAAGAATTCAATTCTCAATCGATTGGCGTTCGTTCCATCTCTCCATCTTCATTAGGAGAAGAGAAATTAATTTTTAATTGGGTGCAAATATTGCGGAGCCTCTCAGCGCTTGAAAACTGTATCATTTTCTTCTGCGCCGTCGTGACTTTCAACGCGAGTTTTCCACTCCCCCGTGAAGGATGGAGGGATGGAACTGATGTCGGTCGATTGAGTATTTAATCCTCAATCGAATGCCGTTGGTTTCATCTCTCCATCTTAATTGGGAGAGGAAAAATGAATTTTTAATTGAGCGCGAATATTGCGGGGCCACTCGGCGCTTGAAAACTATATCGTTTCCTTGAACGCCGTTGTAACTTTCATCTCACAGCATTCCCAGCCCACCGATTCCTCCGATTCTGCTCACTCTACACCGTTATCGACACTCTCGGACTCGTGCCCTGCTTTATTCACAGGTACGGCCTCAAAATTAGTTCATGCGCCACTGCTACGAAATTTTGCGGTTGAAGCTTCTCCATAAGCGCTTGCAATCTCCCCTATAATCTCTGCTGCCAACGCTACCGGTAACAGCGGGAAAAAAGGGAAGAAGAGAGAGAGAAAGAGAGAGAAACAGACATTATGTTCGTTGCCAACTTTGACGAACAAATCTAACACTGAGAGAAAATAAAATCGCGAAATATTACATTATGATGGTTGTTATGGCGGATATTTTTATTTATTATTGATTTATCGAGAAAGTAAAAAATATCTTTAGAAAGCTCATAGTCAACTTATATAATGTAACTAAGGACGGATTTCGCGAGAAATTCTCGTGTTACGAGAAAAAAAATAAAAACCATTCGGGGAGTAGTTGTGTCGTGTATATTATACGCAACAGCATCGGCCTATGACGTCACACCGGTAAAACGTCAACTTGGCCGATACGCTGTCGCGTATCTTGATCCATCATCATCTCCCTTCCCCTCCGATCGACTCCAACCCCCTAAGCAACCCCACCTTTCCATTCCTCCAACCGCCTAATCCACCCAAACCCTCTCCCACTCTCCTCTAATACCTCACATACCCTCTCTGGTACCGCTTTTCCCCATTCATCCTACGACATCACCATATGGGTGGTGGGATGAAGAGTGTGATGAGTGGAAGAGTGTTCTGAAAAGAAAGACGGGAGAGTGGAGAAGAGGAGAAGCAACTAAGGGAGAAAAAAGGGTTTCCAAAAAATGTTGGAGGGAAAGAAGAAAGAGGAGTGAGTGAGTGAGAGAGAGAGAGAGAGAGAGAGAGAGAGAGAGAGAGAGAGAGAGAGAGAGAGAGAGAGAGAGAGAGAG